TCATATTCGGAGGACATTTCTCGAGAATTAGCCTTCAGACCGAAAGTGGAAGTTATGGAGAATATCGAGGCTAATTTAATGGAAAAAGAACCACTTCAAAGATATAGACCAAACCAGAGTTATAAATTTCTGAATACTAGAAATACCGTTGATCGGTAACTCGAAAACTCAGTAACAAAATTATTTGACCATAAAAAATGCACAATTAACTCCCGACCCAAACATGAAACATGAAGATAATATCCATAATGACCCGGTGATAAAATATAAGCTCAAAATAATACTCTGGCTTGGATTTAGAAAATTCAGAAGATTGTCGCGCCGAAACGGACTTCCAACCTGAAATGTCCCAAACCGGATGAAAACTCTGGCTCACATATACCGCTTGAGACATGATAGAATATGTTGGAATTAGTCATGATAAGGAATCTTAATTCACCACTTGGGTGATTGGCATAACAGTCAGACAGAAAAGCCCTGATCCTAAAACAACACGGCTAATGAAAGGCATATATGTATATGATAATGCAATATAAGCCAAAATAAAGTCGAAATGAATAGGGTAAATTTTTGGGGACAACAACATACCATGGCCAAAAATATTTTGAGAGTTGGCTAATATTGGTCCACCTTGGAAAACGATTTCTATAACCATGCTCGAATTTGTTACAAGTGCCAAGTGTATGCTGACAGGGTACATGTTCCTCCCGTTCCTCTAAATGTCTTGACTTCTCCATGGCCCTTTGTAATATGGGGAATTGGTATGATTGGAAAGATTTAACCAACTTCTTCCGAAGGCCATCATTTCATTCTGGTATCCGTAAATTACTTTACCAAGTGGCTCAAAGTTGTATTTTATGCAAATGCTACCAAGCATGTGGTTGCTCGTTTTATCAAGCACAACATAATCTGTCATTATGGGATTCCAGAAAAGATCATTACTGATAATAGATCTAATCTCAATAACAAAATGGTGAAAGCGCTTTGTGAAACTTACAAGATAAAACATCACAATTCTTCTCCGTATCACCCAAAGATGAATGGCGATGTTGAAGCAGCTGATAAAAATATCAAGAATATTGTGTAAAAGATGGTGGTAATATATAAGGATTGGAATGAGATGCTACCTTTCACTTTGTGTGGATATCATACTTCAGTGCATACTTTGACTGGCGCAACCCCATTCTCCCTTGTGTATGAAATGGAAGTAGTTTTGCCTGTGGAAGTGAAGATTCCTTCTCTAAGGATTATGAAAGTTGTTGAGCTTGATGAATTGAAATAGGTGCATAATAGGATGGATCAGTTGAACCTCATTGATGAGAAAAAAGTAGCAGTTGTGTGCCATAGTCAGGTGTACCAAAAAAGGATGAGAAAAACATTTTACAAAAGGAAGCATCCTCAGTATTATCAAGTAGGTGACCTTGTTCTGAAAAGAATCATTCTTCCTTAAGGAGATTGACCAGTGATTTTTACACATGAATTTAACAAGTATTTTAGTTATTGTTTCGTTTAATTGATTGATGTTCTATTTCATTTTACCGTGTTTTATGCTTTGGTTTTGTATTTTAGTGTTTTCAGGTTCAACCAAATAAAACAGGATGAATCAGGATAAAAGTGCAGGATTCAGAGATTTGGGAAAGTTTAGATTCTAGCAAGGCAGAAGGCGACACAGGCGCCCGTGTCAAGTCATCTGAAGTATGAACGTTGGAGGAAGAATCGCAGGAGCTGACACGGGTGCTCGTCTACACTGACACGACCCGTGTCAATTCAGCTGGGCCAAATTCAGGCACAACACAAAGCACAGATTCTAACACGGGTGCCCGTGTCCGGTGACACGGCCTGTGTCACCTTAGGTGCGTGAAAGTCAAATTTTGAGGTTTTCCTGTATTCTTGGATTATTAAGGGTACTGTGGAAATTTGGCATCATGGAGGGGTGACCTAACACTATAAATACCTGATTTGGAGAAGAAAAGGGAGACTTTTGACAACAGGATAATTGGACGATAAAAGATTGAAGTCTATGCAAGTTTTGGGAGAACGAAGACCTTTCATGAGCGGAAGCGATTGAAGATCAGAGTTCACCACTAATTTTTGTAATGGATGTCGTTATTATCATTGAAATCTTATTGAATATTATGTGCGGCTAAACCCCCCAATGCTAGAGGGGTGTCCTAGATTTGCGAATGTATTGACTATAAATTATTAATTTTAATACAATAGTTTCCATTCAATTTAATCGTTCAAGGTTTCTAATGCTTTCCTGATTGAACCAATTAGGATAGTTAAGGTTAACAACCAGCTGGACCACGGTTGTTAAGGTTGTTGTACGATTAGGCTATAGTAGATATTACCTAGGACTATGGATACCCTATAGTCACCGGATTTAACTCTTGATAAGATAAAGGCTTGACTTCATCAGATATTTCTAAGGACTTAGGATTGAGGATGAATGGTTAAAGTTTTCTCACTAAGGACATAAGGGAAAATAATCCAAAGGGTCGGTAGTTGAAGGTAATGAACTTGTAGAAGAGATCAATAGTGAAGGTCATTATAGAGCAAACCACACACTTACCCCTAGCATAGTATTCACACTATGAAAAAAGTCATAATTTACCTTCGCATATTTTTAATTACTGTTAAGAACAATAACCAAACCAAACCCCAAATTGACTTTTGTTTAATTGAACCTCGCATTAAACTCGGTAATTTAATGCAGTCCTTCAGATCGAAATTCGGGGAATTTTCCCTATTATTATAAAAGGCAAAATAGTACACTTGTTATTTTATCGATCACATATCCCAGGGGCAAGTGTACCCCAACTTATGAAGGACCATTTGTTGTTAAGAAATTATTCTCTGGCGGGGCCATGATGCTTACAACTATGGATGGTGAAGACTTCCCACTCCCTGTGAACGTGGATGTAGTCAAAAAATACTTTGCATATATAGACCCGCCGAGTTAACTGGCTCAGGCAAAAAAGAGCATCCCGGGGAACTGAAAAAATGAATGAATAAAAGGTTCGAGAAAAAGTTAGGGATAAAAAATAAGAAGTGAAAAGAATGAAAAAGAAAATAAGTACACACGCTAATTTGAAAACCCAAAAGGGCGGCTTAGGCAAAAAAGGATATCTCAGTGGATCGAAAACCCGAAAGGGCGATCCTGGCAAAATTTAGGGATTTAAAGTGAATGCCTACGTCTAGTGTCGGGTTTTGGATTTCATCTACCACTAATGTTGGTCACCCCGAAGGGTAGGATTCGATCCAGTCATCTTCTTCAGAAAGTAAAGTGATGAGATCTTCAAGGTTATAAGAGTTATAGCATAATCAGAACCTGATGAATATCCATTTTCACATTGCCAAATTTTGTAAGGATCTTTTGTTTTGCTTTCACAATTACCTCTTTCTAGGAATTGCTTCTTGATGTAAAAAGCCTATTTACAAGTCGACTTCAATCAATAAAAGACTTATTTTTATCTAAAGCTTGCTTTATTTTTATTGTACTGTTTTGCTTGCAAAAACGTCAAATATAATTTTGATAATCATTTTCATTTGGAAACTTGTTGGTTTTTCACAAGCATGATAAATAAAATACAAATATTACTTTTAAGCTATTTGTAGCCGGGTGTCATACACCAAATTTATCCGCCCTTTTATTTCTACGGTCAAAAATATTTTAAACATTGTTTTTATAATATTATTTGATTTTTATAAATGTTCATTCTCAAGTCCAGTCAAAAATATTTTAAACATTATTTTTATAATATTCTTTGATTTTTATAAATATTCGCTTCCCAACCTATTTAAAAATATAATAATGTATTCCAAATTATTTGTATTTTTAAAAATAGCAAATATAAGCACACATTTCATATTATTTCAAATTGAGTTTATTTATAAATGAGTAACATAGTGCAATTGGTAAAGAATGGAGCTTGCAAGTGAAGGTCAATTTGTGTCACACCTTATTTTTAATTGGTCAAGTTTGTTTTATTTCCAATTTGAATGATTTTTTTATCTATAAATAGGACATGTTTTTCACTTCCAAATCATCCAGAAATATCCATAATTTCCCACAATTCACAAATTTCACAAATCACACATTCACCTTCTCGCTTTTTTTTACTACTCTTTTGCAATCTCTTTTTTTAAAAGCTTTTCAAAAGCATTGGTGATTTCTATGTTTTGGTCGATGATTTAATATGAGGCCCCGTTTCAATATTTCATTTTTTTAATATTTTTTTAAACTTTGTACTTATTGTTATTTTTACTACTTTTCTATTTTTCTAGTATTATAAATATTAATTTTTTGTTTTGTTATCATTAGTATTATTATTTTTGGTTTTGTCTTGGTTCATATATTTGTTACAACTTTTTGTTATTATTTGTCTAGTTACTTACTTTAGTATTTCATCAATATATCAAAAAAAATTCTTAATTTTTGTATTTTGATTTTTGTTTGTAATTAATTGTTAAATTTCATTTTTTATTTAAATATTTTAATTTTTATTTTCCTTTAATTAAATATTTTTAAGTCATTATTTGTATTATTTTTATTCGATATTTATCAATAACTAATCAAATCACAAAATTATAAAAAAAAAAAATTTCTATGTTTAAGATAAAAATTTTAATATGAATAATTTCCAAATAACTTTTGTTTAATATATTTATTTTCTTCCTTTTATGTTTAACTTAAATTCATGTTATAAATGGAGAGATCACACTCAGGTTTTTACACAAATTTCCACTAACTTTTCTAACACACATAGTGTCATATCTAATCTTTACCAGTAACCAAACATAAAAACAACCTACATAAATATAAACAATTAACAGTCCTTCATAATACAAACCAAAACCATACATTAAACTCTGTTCAAGTATTTCAAAACAACAACTTTAAATCTCTATGCTAATCCCAAAAGTTACAATCTCTTGAACACAATAATTTCAATATAAGTTCAAGTTTTGTTTTGCAAATTGAAGGAAGAAAAGAAGGACTATAGAACCTGCAAACTTTGTATATCAACAATACTAAAGAACAACAACAATGTACTGTTTTTCTTTTTGTGACAGGGTAGACCAAGGAATTTGAAGCGAAGCAGATCAGGGAGAAACGCAAAGGATTCTGCAAATATGTGCCGATCAGATCTAACAAACTCAACCTCCGCGGCAACAGTGTACCCAGATCCGCTCCTCCGCGCGAGCCACCGGCGAAACCACTACACAGACCGCCTGTGTGAAATCTCTGCCGCCCCAGGTTCTTCTTTTACTCTTTTTTTAAAAATCTGATTTGTGTAACAGGTTGTTAGTTTTCTGTGTTTGGGTTAAATCAATTGAAAATAGGAAGAGATTTATGCGGAACAGAGAAAGAAGAGAATATTGAGTGTTGCATTTTCTTTTCTTTTTATTTTTCTTAAATATATGCCTGTTTTAATTTTGTTTTATTTTGGATGTAATTAATATGCCAAGTGTCAGTCTATTTGTGGTTTTAAGTGTTGAACAAATTTAGTCAAATGAACAAGAAAACATATGTCGTCCCTTGTAGTTGTTCAGTTTCTTCCCTTTTTTTAATTATCATTATTTTTTGTCTGTATTTATTTATTCTAAATAAATTATATTTAGTCTATTTTACCATTTTATTTTAGGCCCAATTAGATTCCTACTATTTTACTAATCTCACACCACCCCCATTTCCAGTTCTACACCCCTAGCCCATTTATTCTAGTTTTTTAATTAGGTTAAGTAACTCTTAATTAGGTTAGTTAATTTTCTTAGTATCATTATTTTTTTAATAAATAGTTAACTTAGTAATATAACTTGAATTAATTTGGTCAACTTTTTTAGATTAAATCATTTAGTTCATCACACTTGTACATAATCAAAAATTTTGCTAATCAAGTTAATTCAAACATTTTATAAGTGATAGGATATCTACCTCTGAGTAATTAAATTGGTTGAAATATTGTCCATCGATTTATTATCGAAAATCAAGTCATTAATTTAATATTTTATATCAAAATATTAAAACTCGCGATTCATTAAATTACGATATCCACAAGCGATACATGGCCAATATTTGACCATGTGATAAGAGGGCTATATCAGACTCTTCTGCTATGTATGTCTAAAAAATACGCAAACAAACGTCAAACTATTTTTTATAATAAATTAAAACAAACAATTAATTTTCCAAAAGGAATACAAAGAGTTTTTAATTAACTTCGCGCTTAGTTCAAAATCTCCGCTATCCACACATTCGAACTAAGTGCGGGGAAAATTAAAACATCTGCGTAATCCTTAAAAAACACCAACTAACCCCATGAACTACGAAATGGGACTCTGATTCCTCCTAAGAGGATGCGCAGGCATACGATTAAAGTCGTGGCGAGTCCCACTAATTAAAAAACAAACCCATTTTCCCCTAACTAAAATTCAAACCCTTTACCCCTAACTAGAATTCAAACCCTTTCCCCCTAACTAAAATTCAAACCCTTTCCCCTAACTAAAATTCAAACCCTTTCTCGCAAACTAAAATTCAAATCCTTTTCCATAATAAAACAATAAAAACCCTATTTCCTAAATATCGCGCTTCTAAACCTAGTATCCTTGCGAACAAGGTAGATAAGGGGTGCCTAACACCTTCCCCTCATCTAGAATCGAGTCCAAATCTAGAACCTTTAAATCTGTAGGGTTATTCCTTTATACTCCCTTCCTATAGGATAAAAATTAAGGGTGGCAACTTTCTATTAAAAAACCAGTTGAAACATTGGGTTGGTAGGCTAAGTCGTCATGCTATACATGGGGCACAATTGGTTTGATTTGCTTTGAAGGAATCATCGTCCCTATACTTTTACACGGTTTACCAATGCCAGAATAGCATTCTTTCAAGAATGACCATGGTATCTCCAGTTTGGGTTGTATCCCTTGCAGCGTGGAAGTTTCTACTTCTCCCCAGTAAATCTTCCCTAAGCATTGGGTTATAGCTAAAAGTTTGACTGATTAGGAAAGTTTTGGATGACTCCCCAGTGTTACTTGAAGATTTTTCTCCCGAGCATCACCCAGTGGAGAATCCCTGTGATTGATGAGATTTCTTTTTGAAGGATATGCCTTCTCGGAAATATGTGTTATTGTTGTATTTATGAGAGAATGTTTACTCCCTTAAGCAGATATGTCTTGTTCCCCAACCAAGAGCTCCCATTGAGAATTTTCTTATTCCCCTACAGGGTTGCCTTTAAAGATTCTCGCATTCCCTGATGAAGTCGCTCCATGAAGATTTCTCGCATTCCCTGATGAAGTCGCTCCATGAAGATTTCTTATTCAATAATTCTTTCATCTCCCCTGTAAGGCTACTTTTTGGAAAATCAATTACCCTGAAATGTTCATTCCCCAGTTAAGTCGATTCGTCAGAAGTTCTTATTCAAGAATTATTCATTTTCCCCAATGTAAGTTCCTTATTCTTCAAGCAGTTAGAGGTGAATTTTGATTCCGTGCAGACCTTATTTCGATGGTGTCAGCAATGTCCAATCTCTACTTGGTTTTCCACTTAAGAAGTTACAGTTTCACCCTAATCTTCTCCAGCAACATCCAATCTCTATTTGGTGTTCCACTTCAGAAGTTACAGTTTCACCCTGATCTTCCCTAACAACGCCCAATCTCTATTTTGCATTCCCCTTCAGAAGTCATAGTGTCGCTCTGATCAGTAGTACCTGGTCTTTATTTGGCATTCTTTATCGAAGTTGACAGTTTTGACCTAATCTGCACCATGGGAGTATGCATATTATTTTTGCAACTCCTTTAAGAGTTTGTAGCTCATTTCTACCAGTTACTCAGTTTGTTACTCCCCGTAGAGTTTCAGCTCTTCAAGGGTTTCTCTCCATCAGATTTTGTAATTTGTTTTTGCGGACACCGTCAGGTTTTTTCCCATTGGTTGTTGGCTTCTCGATTGGCCATTCCCCAGTGAAACATTTAAAGCATGCATCCCATCACATTGCATACTCAAAGTGTATTGTTTCCATTCTCTTTTGGAACATAACTCTGTGAAAAAATAATGATTCAGACATGCATTAAAAGATAAGCCATTATTGTTTCTCTTTTCCCCAATGATTTTTCTAATATGATATCTCCAGCGAGGTCTCTATCCTCAGTATCCCACTTTTTGCCTCATACAAGTACCCTTTTTTGGATGTTACCATTAAGTGGTTGAGTGTCTACTCACTATCTAATATTGTAATCCAGTCTCTAGCTGGCGCAGTTTTCTCGAGTTTAGTCTTTACTACCCTTGTTGGTTCATTTCAATGTCTATTGATATATCTTATGAATACCAGCCTCGCCCTGATATTCATTTTCAGCCTAGTTTTATCTAGTTGCTCTTAGGTCAAATTTTGTGTTATTACCTGTGCGTGCAATCCAGTTTCGTCCTAGTACTCATCTTTGGATTAGTGTTATTTAAACTTCCTGAGTCGAGTTTGATACTTGTTTTTTAATTCTCATCTTTTGACCAGTTCTATCTGGTCTTCTTAAGCCGAGTTTCTATTCATTATTTCTCTCTTTTATCACTTGGGTTCATTCAACATTGTCTATTGTACACCCTCGTTTAAGACCAACAATTGTTTTGTGAAATAAATTCACTTTGCGTCGCCTTGCTATAGGATCCAATTTCTATTGTTGTCCTATTGAGTACTTTTTGAAAGCCTAGTTTCGTCTATATCTTCTTAGGCCTAGTTTCGTCTAATTACCTTGTTTGCACACTAGTTTCTATCTTGCATATGCTTTATAAGTACTCCTGGAGGCCGAGTTTGATCTCGATAACCTCTACTCGATCCAACCAGCATTCCGCTAACGTGCAGACAGTATAAGTTCAGTTTTTTCTGTTCTCGTTGTTCGAGACCAGTTTATTTCTGGTATACTCGTTAGGGTCCGGTATCTATTTGTATCTTGTGGGAGTATGGTTTTATCCAATCCTCCTGAGTCGAGTTTTATCTCACCATTGTGATTTATGTTTCAGTTTTGTCCTGACACAATCTTTAAGATCTAGTTTTACCCAGTCCTCCTGAGTTGAGTTTTATCTCCCTATTATGATTGTGTTTTGGTTTTGTCCTTACACAATCTTCAAGATCTAGTTTTACCCACTCCTCCTTAGTTGATTTTTATCTTGCTATCACAATTTGTTTTTCAGCTTTGTCCTGACACATTATTTAGAGTCTAGTTTTATCTAGTCTTTCTGGGTTGAGTTTTATCTCATTTCTGTGATTTGTGTTCCAGTTTTATCCTGGCACATTCTTTTAAAGTCTAGTATTATTTAGTTTTTATGGGGTTGAGTTTTATCTCATTTCTATGATTGGTGTTCCAGTTTTGTCCTGGCACATTCTTCTAAAGTCTAGTTTTGTCTAGCCTGCTTGAGTTAAGTTTTAGCTCATTTTCCCAATTTGTGCTTCAGTTTTACCTATCGCATCCTTCTATAAGACTAGCATCCACTAGTTTTCTTGGTGTAAGTCCAATCTCGACTTGGCTTACTTTTCGAGTCAAATCTCTACTTGGCTCATTTTTTCAAATCCACTTTCTACTTGGTATATCTCTTGAGTCCAGTTTTATCTGACACTCTTTGGTAGAATTTTGTATTCACTAATCTTCTGATCTTCCACCTAGTTCGCTTGGTGTCATCCTTTCAAGATACATTTATTAGTGTTTCTAGGTTTCTGTTTTGTTCAGAGCGCAAAAATTTGGGTTCTTTTTGTATTCAATCCTCTTCCACCTTGAACGTTTGAAAGTTGATGCTCTTTCTGACTTATCAGGTTTAAGATGATTGAATAGGGGCAGCTATTGGACCCCATAATTTCCCCTCTTCATTTTACCTTACGTGGCTTATGTTTCATCATACATACTCATGCATTCTCATGATAGGATCAAGGTGTCTTGGTTCCCAAGTTCTTCTACAGGCTATAAAGGATGATTGTTTTGTTAATCGGTGCAAAAGGGGGTCTCATATACTCAATTTTTCAGTCACTCACGCTACAAGGGTTTCTTATATTTTAAGACATCTCATTTGTCCCATGACTCATTAGAATTTGGAAATTTACAAAGTTTTGAGAAGAATCACATTTCTACTATTCATCTCTCAGATTAGGGTTTTTGATCAATTAAAGAGATTGAGGTTGGTATGAGCCAAATTCTTAAAGCATCATCTTCCTATCATCATTTGAAGTATCTATGTTCAAGGAATTTCTCAACATGTCCAAAAGAATTAGGGTTTTGAAGCTTAGTCATCATCTCCTAACACAAAGGGCTAAAGTTAGGGTTTTGATTTTAATTAGGGTTTCTTTAACTCTTTGACCTAAATTTGATTCCATGCTTCTCTGCACGTTTAGGAGCGCCTATTATTGAAGGATTGAACATCAATTTTGATTGGAAGTGGTTCAATTGATCAATTGGAGGGAAAACAATCATTTGAGCAAAAGTCAACAAAAAGTCAACTGTGACCAGGGGGATATTTGGTTAACATGCAATTCAACATCCACATTTTCATGTTGCATGGTCATTGATGAAATAAAATCAAGATAGTTGTTGGATTTGAAGATAACTTGTCAAAAATGTCATTTGAACATTTGAAAAGTTTCTAAGTGTGGAAATTCATAGTACTAAACTTTGAAAGTTCACAACTTCTTCATTTTTTATTGAAAAAATACAAATTTTAC